ATGCCCGCGAGAAGTTTAGAGACGATACTAATTACACTAATTCCTCTATGGTTTTCACAAAAGGAGGAATCCGTGGTTCGCATAGATTTGAAGTAGGCGATCTCCGTGGTCCGTCCGGTTGGTTGGGAATGCATGTGGTCCACCTAGAAGCCTTTCTGATTCTTCCAGGGATCCCACTTGGGCACTGAATTCTTTTCTCGCAGCTGATTTCCACCAGAATGTTACAAGTCCGATTATCGCTAAACTCATAAACCACTGGGACCCCATGTGATTCCTCTCATTGTTCCCAAAATGTGCCCCCCTCCAGGCCTGAACTCTCTTCTGTGTCGTGTATCTTGTTTATTTCTTGAATTCAAGAGATTACCAATCCCGCGGTAAACAACTGAAATATTTTCCATTACCAAACTCGGTGGGACCCCAATAACTAGCACGTCATCTCTCATCTCACGGGTTATGAAATCACTCATTGCTTATCAACTCCGCCATCACCTGTAACAAAACAATCAGCTTTGCGATCGCCAGTACAGTTTCTAATCCTATTGATCCACTGATTATATTGTGGCGTCCGTTTCGATTGCACGACCAGCAGCACTCGACAAACACGGGGAAACCCATATGGTCTCACTAAACTTATCACAAGCTTTCTATCCTATCTTGCACGCAGGTCTGTTTTCTATTGTCCCATTTTGGCTTTCTCTGGGAAATTTTGTTCTGGACAGCAAATTTTCTCAGCGACCGCACCATCTTTGTTCGATCCGACGGAATCAAGTCCCATTCTGTCTGTAAATACTGGCGTCCCATAAGGTTCTTTACTTTCCCTCACACTTTCCTTAATATTCATTCATCATCTTTCCTCTACCTTGGGTCCTATTCATACCTCTGCCGATCCTCTCTCTACGTTGTCCTTTTGCTCTTCATACCGCTCCATTTATTCCCGCCTTAGTAACCACCACTTCTTCGTCAACACCCCCTTAAATTCTAATATTTGTTTCATTTCTGCTTGAGGTTGTTTCAGTCGTGTTCTTTCTAGTGCCGATAATTCATGTTAATCTTCCACATTAAATTTGAACGCCGCCGTTCTCCGTTCCACAAATCCATGAAAGTTATTGAAGCTATCCTTTTGTTTTCCTCTCTCATGGTCACTCTCTGCTTATTTTCTTCCCGCTCTCGTTGCACACAAGATCGGTTTTCTGTTCGATACCATATTCCCTCGCTTCTACGCATCTTTTCTCAATTTACGGAGCCCATTTTCATCCTGCGCTCGAATATTGTGGTCTTCCTGACTGGGGATTCGACTCGAATTGGCATCTCAGCAGGTAATAATGATGGAAGAGTAAGTGCTCGACGCAGATGGTCCTCCACTCTGCCTCACCTGCTACCTTGCAGTCCGATTCTTGTCAGAACTAAGGGTTTTAGTTGAGAGCCCCAATCGTTCTGCTGCTTCGTGGTTGGATTCCCTCGCAGTACCCATCGATAAACCTTCAATGAGCACAAACTAAGAATGATTCGATACTGCATGGGTCCTCACACAAGATAATCTAGACGGCACTGCTCATTGCATCGAGCGGGTTGGATAATGATAGGTGGGCTGCTGTTCAGAGATCTCAACCTTAGTTTACTTCTTGTCTTCTATACCCAGCTCTCTCCCTTTGCCCCTTATACTAACCCACAACATTTCATCAATCAACTTGTTCGCCACTTGTCACAGGTCGTTGCCAGATAGCACTGTAAGAAGTTCACCAGTATAATAAACGCATCCTTAGCCCGTATAGGGAGCACTTAAATCTACCCGCCCAGCAAACAGACAGCGGTGAACGAATACTTCAGTTCTGCGCGGATCATCGGTTGTTCTTATCTAGCACCAACTTTTGACACAGCTCTCGTCGGAAGGCTACATGGTGTTTTAGTTCAAAGGGAAAATTGACCAAATTAACCACATAGCTGTAAGATACCGTTGGCATTGTTCAGTACAAAATTGTAGATCCTACTGGACCATCTGCACGAAGTCGAATCATGCACTAGTTCTGATGTGCTTCATTCTCCTACTCATTTGTCATCGGCAGAAATAGCTCATTGTTTAGCTCATCGTCCGTGCGATCCATCTGTTTTGGCGCACGTTATGTGGCGAAGCTTGGACAGAAGCTAAGAGCAGCGCAACTTGACCGAGTGAATCAATGGTGGGCTTAATTTGTTTTCGTGATTCATCCGCCAGCAAACTTTCATTGTGGGTCGTATCCCGAATTTCTTTGGAGGTATTGAATCTCTCAGGAGTCAGTAAACTTGATAGACCAAAGATCCTGATCTGCGAGAACCAAGATAGAAACCGGTGGCATCTGCGACAACAGCTCAGGAAAAGCCTTCAGAAAGATCGGGAAAACTGGTTGACCAAAATAGCCAGTGAAATGGATTTAGCTTCATCATCAGGGAAAAGTCAGACACTGTTTCACCTGATTCGCAGCACCGGAGGTTGTCTCATACCAGTCAGTGAAACCATTTGCCTTAAAAGTGAACAGAATATCCACAATAAAAATAAAAGACTAGATCGCCGGGCAGAGCATTTTGGCGAGCAGTTCAATTAGCCTAGTGTCAATGTGGTTATTTTTGCGATGGCAGTGGAAACTCCGTTGGCGATAACATATAAGCTTCCAACGCAATAAGAAACGTGAAGCTCTATCCTATCGTTGAAGAAAGTGATAGCAAGGTGACTTGACGGGCTTCTCTCCATTCTTTTCAAGGTGTGGTGTGACTCCAGTCGACTCTATTGCTGGCTTACTTCCAGCTTCTGATCAGAATAGCGCATCCGCTTGTCCTGGGTTGAATCGTCGATCGATCGGATCTTCAAGAAGGAATCATGCAAAGATGGCGCAAACCACCACAGGATAAGTTTAGTTCCGATCATCACTTCTCTGATATTTGGCCGCCTGACATCTCTAAGGAAGATGAATATTCACGAATAGCCAGTAGGATTCCGCCCAGGTCGCGGTGAGATCGACCAAATCTTCCCTTTATATCAAGCCCTCGAACTACACCATACACACACACATAGTCGACCAACAATCGCAGTGTTCCTTGTCCCCAAAGGCGCGTTTGACTCAGTTGACCATGAATCCCTAATATGTTCGCTTGTTTCCCAAAGTAATGCCACCCAGGTATTGTGGTCACCATATTTGCACACTTCTGGCCGCCTGAGGATATACGGTAGGTTAGGTAGCTCATTGGAATTTAGTATCGACCTTCGTCATAGGTGCTTTATTTCGCCGTCCCTGTCTAAGTCCTGGCATAACGCACTTGGTAATCTTCACCCAGAACGGATACCCACGATACAGTGTCAGCGATTGTTGCAAATTGACCTTCCAAGCGGAACTCTCCGATTGACTACCAGTTCAATCACCGGCCGAATTACTCATTGAACACTGGAAGCTGTGTACCTTGTACGTTTGACTCCGTCCAAAGGGCGTATGATCCGATAAACTGGACACCGGGTCTTAATGGACTGCGGGCTCTGAGCTCCGTCCTGTTGTCTTGTAGGTTTGGCTGTCTAGCCAAAGGTTTCGGCTGGGGACCCGGTCTCGTATTTGGTAATGATTTGATCGAAAATTTCGTTCTCACATATAATTCAGACTAGTAAGTTTCGCTGGTTAGGGCGCGTATTACGTATGCCCAGCTGTTATGTATCGCACCGCGCTCTATTCACGATTGGTTCTCTCTGTTGGAGTAACGCATTTGGAGGTTGACAGATGATGTGGAAACGAGGTATGAATTAAGGCGCATAGCGATTAGGTATAGTAGGCATCTGTCGTCTTGTACGTAAGTGTCCGAGATGTTATTTAACTGCTTTTTTAGATAGACTCAAGGATATTGTAACAAACTGACAGCAGTGGCATCTTGTCATTTCTCGTCGGGTCCGAATGCTTGATATAGGGTGTATGCGCAATTATTCTGCGCACTATGTTGAGCATGTTTCACTTACTTCCCCCTTCATTCGAAATAGACAACGCATTGGGTTTTATGCTTCAATTTAATAATTTTTCGTTGACTAAGTCGGTAAGTAAGAAAAAGCAATCATAATCATTTTATATAAGTACAGGATTACTGTTTGTCTCCGCTGTGTCACAAACAATGGCGCTTGTGCATCTACTCATTATTCTTGCAACCCCGGTCTTTGTGAATTCTCNCATAGCGATTAGGTATAGTAGGCATCTGTCGTCTTGTACGTAAGTGTCCGAGATGTTCTCCAATTGCTTGGTTGGAGACACTAGGATTTGACAGTGAATCGACAACAGTGGCATTCTTGTCATTTTTATGCAGTATGCACAATTGGTTTTTGCGCTCTCCGTATTTATCTAATTGCTGCTCATCTTATGTCTTCTTTTTTTGCTTGTATTTTTTTTGTGTTTGCCAACGTGAAGTGAAGTTCCTTGTGCGATGATGATTGCAGTCATTTTCCAATTGGAGTATCGTCCACCTCTCCGTGTTCTCTTCTCGGGTTACACGTCAAACTGCAGGCACCATCACTTACTCATCCCAATACTGTTGTTCGCATTTGGTAACTCGCCGTCGAATAGTTCGGTTTGTTATACTGTTCTGCCTGTATTATTTTGCTTTTGTTCAACGGAACTGCCCCCTTCTGTCCCTCTTCTTCGATGTTCCCGTACACCAGCTGCTACTCACCCTTTCCAGACGACTGTCCTGTACAAGTCGCACTTCTTTCAATTCTGTTTCTTACAGATGCTTAGTACAGCCATTGAATACTTCCAATTTCGATCTTCCCATTAATTTACAACACTGATCTTTAAAGACGGAACTAACTAGCTGTAANAAGTAAGAAAAAGCAATCATAATCATTTTATATAAGTACAGGATTACTGTTTGTCTCCGCTGTGTCACAAACAATGGCGCTTGTGCATCTACTCATTATTCTTGCAACCCCGGTCTTTGTGAATTCTCTGTATTCTCTTTGGCTCTACTCCCAACATTCTGCTCTCTTATCTACATGGGCGGTCTAAAACATCAACCGAAACCGGCTCATAAAACTGCAGGTTTACTGGTTGTAATAGGTGAAATTGAAATGAATATTTATAAACATTAAAACCACCTTAGTGTTTCAAAACTGATTCCGACCACTCTCTCGTTTCTTCGCAGGCATTTGTTCCGAATCCCTTACCGTTGTACGGTTCCAATCTCAAGGCCCTGGCGCGAATCGGATTGTTCATCAGTTGTTTTGCGGTCCCGGAATTGGTAAATCGGATTTGGTGAAAATGACAGAATCTGCTCAATCGGACACGACTAGTGATAGCGATTTTGATGAACAGGATCTGACGGTGGAGGATGAGGACGAGGATAGTATTGCTCCGGAGGAAGACGTGGCGGACGAAGAAGAAGTGAATAGTTTGGTCAAAGTGAGTTCTTTTTTCATTATTTTTACTTGCTGACTGTAACACAAATCGTCCATTAAGCTGTTGTTTACCTACTGACCGCTGGACCTAATTATCAAGGCTAAACTAATGTGTTCCTTCGGGTCATCCCGTATATAAAATACAAAATAGGTTTTCCATGTTTTAACAGCTTTTTTTACGTGACGCGCTTTTGTTGAAACAACCAGATTAAACCATCTTGATGTGAGGTTTATGATCCCAGGCTGCTGCAGAAAGCCACTGATGTGTAAGCTCAAACTTCGTATTTTTGGTTGGTTGGGTGTTTTATTGCACTAAATGATTCACGGCAAATAGGTTAAGCCCCGTGGTCAACGTCACTTTTTATTACACTTCGATGTGTGGTGGACAGCAGATGGGATGGAATCTCAATCTCGAAGACTTGCCGTTCAGTGATATTAACGTCATGTTGTAAAAGGAAGGTATGCAGAGAAAATTTAAATGTAAACCAAGTTATAATTTAAGAGCGAACGCTTTTAATTGGTTGGTAATACAGAAACGAAAAGAATGTTTTACAGTCCTGGGGAAGAGGAAAGATTGATAGGCGATATTCCGACATCTGGGGATAAACATCTTGGTGAGTAGCCGTATGTGATACAGATGGTTGAGTAAGGGATATGGATGGGAGAACTGCCGTTGTGATTTCATAACAGAAACAGAAAAAGTAACTGTTAAAGGAGAGGAAAAAGCAACAGAATGGTGGATGTGGGTGCAAATACTGTCTTTGAGAAAACAAGGTTTTATCGAAAACTACCTGGGAGGTTGAAGGCGGTTGCCGTTTTGGTAGACGGTCCTGTTGTCGTTCGGCGCGGTGCTGCCACGTAGTCGTAGTGGCTCACCACTCCACGTTCTTGTGTACGGTTTCCGATCCTCTGTCTCCTTCACTTCTCTGTGAAAAAAACACGTCAATCAAGATTGGGTCTCATACGCGCTCTACTCATCCGACAAAGCCATCCACAATAAATTTCTTCATCAATTTCATTAGTCCTCTTCCTCTCTTCCTTTCGTTTTATCCTAAACCCAGTTTTCTTCTACTAAGGACACCATTTCTCCAGTTTTAACATTATCATCTGCACATCTCATTCTTTTCCAAATCGGGTGTTTTTGCATTTATCCACTATTCAGTCGCCTTCGTGCCGTTCTTCTGCTTAAATCTCACCGATTCCCACTTCCAGACGTAGCAAAACCCTCGATTATTTTTTAATCATTACTGCCTCAATTGGTTGACCTTCCCATTCGTATCCGCGACCATACTGAAGCTCTCGATCTTGTCATCACATCGCATTCATTTATTTACCAAAATTAGAACTTTCCATCGGGCTCATCGAACCACGGTCTTATTTTCTACCCAATTTACTCGCTCTACCCTTTCATCTTTAGATGCACATTCTCAATATATGATTCCGCTGATTGGTGTAACTTTGGTTACCTTTTGGCTTCCAACCCCTAGAATGATCGTCGTTTCTCCATCTTTGCCTCGCCCTCGGTTTCCAAATTTTTAAAAGATCTTTTAAAAGGCATTTCTCTTAACCCGGCAAACTTTCTCCTGGATGTTTTAACCCCACTGACCGTTCACTCGCTTCCGTTACTGGTTCGTACAAGCACGAAAATTCTGCATAATTACCGTATAGTGAGCTAAACATCGATCTGCCAGGCTCAAAGCAACAGTTACCAGCTGCTCCTTCTGGAAGCCGGACGTTGTGATCACTTGCTTTATCAGTATCCCATCATTTCCGTTCCCGTAACTTCCCATGCACTGTAACCCATCTGGTGATTCAGTGTTCGATACATAGCTGAATATGTATGATGTGTAGTGAGTTGTCTTCTAGAAAAACTGAAGTGTCTATTGTAGTAAATCATCAATCAGTGAGATGCTCTCAACACAACGGAAGAGGTAGGCCGTATCGTAGGCTTTAATCAACTGAATAATGGAATAATGGACAGTGGTGGCAGGGTGGTAACGTCACTAAATTACCACCTCGGGGGACATGTGTTCGAACCCCACCACCACCACCTGACTTTCCTCATAGCAGTCATTTGATTGGCCACTTCCCTCTTCCTGAAAATTGCACCATTATGTATTCAACAAAAGGAAATAAAATAAAACAGAAAAGAAATTAGGAAAGGGGGGTATATATGCATGCAGTTTCAGTTTGTACAACCAATAACCACGCATATTCGTGCGCCCGTTTTGGTCCCTGTCTTTTGGCTACCCATTTGGATGAAGAATAGGAGGAGAAAGGAAACTTGAAAGTGGAGTAGAAAAGAAAATGGAGAAGTTCAATGGTCTAAGGTTACAAAGAGATTGAGAAGATGCACGAACGCCACTGGTTGCGACACCCAGCCATATCACTCAG